TNAGCGCCACTACCACCACCACCTCTACCAGTGCTGTGCTTGACAAACTCTACAAACTGCAAAGAACCAGTTCTCAAAATTTGCCAAAAGAATTAAAATAAAAACTGCATGACGTTTGTAAAAATGGTTAGATCAAGGCCATTTTCATACTTAACCCGTATATTCATAACATTAATTACTCCTGTGATTTTCAAGACAATGGGCCTATTCGTTTTCCTTGAAATTTTTTATCAGTGTTGCACATATGCTAAAAAAGGGGAAAAACAGCGTAATTTTTGAAAAAATGGCCTGATCATGCTCAATTTTAAACTGTATTTTACAAATAAACATCAGTTCCATAAGATTGAAGACAGAAGACAAAACCGTTTTCCACTTAATGTGTTATCACTGAAAGTGCATGGCGATGGCATGAATTTGATATATACATAATCCAAGGTTGCAGTATGATTGTGAGTACAAGAGTTTTAATTGAACTTAAATTATAATAAATATAATAGATTGAAACTGCAAATATTTGGCTTCCTTTTCAATTGTAATAGTAGCTCTTGTTGCATCACCCCTAAGCAACAAAGAAGTGTTCTTTGTCCTTTTAAACTCCTCCCTTTCTATGTGACAAATCTGAAAAAAGTGATGCATATACTTAAAATGGGAGATTCGACAGCCAAGTCAGTAGGAGATTTGAGAGCTGAGTCAGTAAAATTAAATCACTTTTACCTCAGCCTCGTACCTGAGGGTTTAAAGTTACACTTCAGGTGTGTTTTAATACCTTCAGGCATATTTTGTCAAAAACTACACCAATTAATATCTTTATCTCAGGTTATGTTTATTTGTTACAGGGTACTTTGTTTATTAATGAGAGTTAGTCATACATGATCATGCAACCATACAATTAATGGTAATAATGTCTGTTGTTAGTTGCATTAATTATACTATGACTGTCACATTGTGTCTTATCTAAAACATCTGAAAGTTTAATTTTCATATCACACTGGGAAGACATAACTGTAGTTTCCTACTGGACATAGTGTCTGCTGAAGTGACACTTTACATATGTGGGCAATTTCACAGGATGGTCAACCTCAGGCCAAAAAAATGAAATGCCTTAAAATAACATTTACACACAATTATCTAGTTCAGAAGAAGTTAAACCTTCATCATCTATAAAGTTTTTGAAATAAATTTGAGCAGATTGCATTTTGTCGAACTTTAAAGTTGCACCTAAGCAAAAATGCAAAAAATCAGTTTTAACACAGACAAGCAAAATCTTTCAATTTTTTTGATGAAAAACATATATTTCTATGGTATTTGCATACAGATGGGAGTTTTAGGAATTAAACTGACTATTAAAAAGAGAAAAAATAAATAAAATTATCAAATTGTGAAAATTAGAGCATTGAAATTTGGATTTACGTCCGTTACTTACGTCCATTACTAAATTTAGTAAGTTTTTTATTTTTCTCTTTTAATTTTCATCTATTTTCTACTACATTTAATATTCTCTTTAGAAATGGGTGTTTCAACACACATATTAAATTTCAGATATCTAGTGCTTATAGTTATCCAGAATTTTGCAGTTAATTTTCTTACGTCCATTACCATTTGTAACTTACGTCCGTTACCAACATATATGCTTTTGCTTTTTTGTCATATCAATAGACATTTAGCTAAAATCCATTTACTGCAAGTGGTGCTTGCAGGATGGCAATGAATTGGGTCAATTATTACATCATTGGTAACTCTGATGACCTTACTAGTAATTACATCATGTCCTGTGTACAACCCATAATATTAAGACAGGAGGTGAGGCATGGTCCTCTGGTTTTCATGTCCACTAAGTTAACATTTTTTTTTCAAGTTAATTACAAGACTTAGTATATTTTGTATTTTTAAGAAGAATAAATAAAGATTTCACAACAATTTTTTTCAAAAATTTTTAGATAGTAAGTCTGCCAAATTAGCACAAATTGTAGGGGAAATCGGGGCTAGTTGGACCCCAGGGTAAGTTGGCCTCCTATCAAGTCTCTTTAATAAAGTTACTTTAATAAGATGCTAAATTATTTGGACTCACTGCTGACGCTTTCTAAGCACTATTGTATACGGTTACTTTACAAAATGTTATCAATTCTTTTACCCCATAGTTACTTTGCCATAAAGTGATGGGGGGCCCAACTTACCCCAGGGTCCAACTAGCCTTGGTCTCCCCTATGTCTATAAGCATTATTGTTGTCATCAGGCACATAGGAAATGAAAGGTATGTCTCGCTTCCAGATTTGATCTTAAATTAATTGTTTCTTTCTCATTGACAAGAGCTATTGAAAGGACTATTGACAAATGGGCTGAGGCATGCAGCATCTATTTCACAGGCTTGAAAATTTATCATGTCTTGATGACAATGTGGTTGAATAATCAGAACAAGAAAAAAATTCTGTCGTATGATTTTGACGTTTGGACTAAGGCTTCATTCACATGCAATGTCTATTTTCTAAATTCTATTTTCTATTCGCGGTATGTCTTATGATCACAGTCTGTGCCCTGAATATCCCGCGGCGTAATTACTGGCAGCGCGAGCCAGTTACTATAAGTTACTATAAGTAACTGGCTCGCGCTGCCAGTAATTACGCGGCGGGATATTCAGGGCACAGACCGTGATCATAAGATAGCGCGAATAGAAAAAAGATTTTTAGAAAATAGACATTGCATGTGAACGAAGCCTAAATGTTTGAAAATTAATTTTAGAATATAATTTTTTGGTCGGATTGATTGGACCAGTCACAATGCTTGGCACATTACCGTAATTTGGTGTGTCATTGAACACCGAATAGTCATAATAAACTTTGTAGTATTGAAACGTTTAGCATGCATATACTTTTAAAGAATTTAGAAGTGCACTATATCTTCACACATAAATACATTTTGACCAGATACCCTAAACATGTTCTCGTTGTACTTTTCAGAAAGGAAAATTTACCTCTTCAAGAAATGTTAATTGTTCGTATACTAATCAGTTACTTTGTTATGCTCAACTGAATAAAGTTGTTTTAAAATCTTTTTTTCTGAAAAATCTTGAAATTCCAATATGTGAAAATAAGTTCTAAATTATATTTAATCCAAAGCCTAAAGTTTTAAACATAAAACAACTTCTTACATCATTTTTCAATAATTTATGTCCGTTACTTTCACAGATTACGTCCGTTACTTACGTCCGTTACCATCACCCCTCAAAATAAAGGATACACAGCTTTCATGAAATTTGGAATAGAAATTTCTTAGGTCTATTTTTGTAAACTAAAATGTGTAAGGTTTGCATACAAAAACATTTTTGTTTCCAAAAGTCTCACACTTCACAGACTTTTCATCTTAAAATCTCATCTCTGAGAAAATGAATTTTTCTGCTTACGTCCGTTACCGCTACTTAAAATGAAATATCTCAAATATTAAATAAGCTTGGGTCATGAAATAAAGCACATATATAGTACTAAGTGAGTACTATAAAATCATAATAGAAAAAAACTAAAAATCATTTACACATTAAGAAATATTGAACCTGAAAGCCTCATGTCCTTACGTCCGTTACCGTGAAATTGCCCATGTATGAAACTGATAACATTATGTGCAGTATAATTTAACTGGAATTCATTTGTTATGAGAGATGTCTTTGTTTGTAGTGTATAAAAATTGTCCCAATCTCAGTATCAGTCAGTGAAGAAGTGAAGTTCAGAGGTTGTCTGACACCTGTAGAAATAGAGGAATCTCTGTAGTCAACCCACTGTGTTAGCTTATAGAAGGAAAATAACAGCTGGTTTGGCAGGATACAAGGTATAAGGGTGAGTTGAATGTTTTCTTTGAAAACCAAGAGTAGTGCCAGAAGTCATGGTGGTGGTACTAATAATGTATTTAAAATGTGTTTACTTTATTAAATGTCACCAGATGAAGGAAGAATACAATTCTTTATTGCTATAAATATAATAATTGAAATAATACTATAAACATTTTCAGAAATAAGTATAATTAAATATTTTGCTGTATAATTGTCATAGTTTAAGGATGTCTTAGTGACAAAAATGTTTAATACTTAACAAAATAGTGGAAGAGAAGATAAATTATACTAAATATGCCCACTTTATCCATTTTAAACATATCTCATCAATGTGAAAAATGAAGAAAATATATTTTGATTACTTTTGATATAAAGTTTTTAGTATTTCTAGGAATAAGGATGGGATTTTAAAATTCTGGAATTCTAACTATAAATGCTTATCAAAATTTCTCAATGGTTATTGGCATTTTATTTGTAAAACATGAAGTTTTGTAAAGAGGTGTTGCCATACTAAAGTAAATTAAATATGCCCACTTTATCCATTTTAAACATATCTCATCAATGTGAAAAATGAAGAAAATATATTTTGATTACTTTTGATATAAAGTTTTTAGTATTTCTAGGAATAAGGATGGGATTTTAAAATTCTGGAATTCTAACTATAAATGGAATTCTAACTATAAATGGTTTTTAGTATTTCTAGAAATAAGGATGGGATTTTAAAATTCCGGAATTCTAACTATAAATGCTTATCAAAATTTCTCAATGGTTATTGGCATTTTATTTGTAAAACATGAAGTTTTGTAAAGAGGTGTTGCCATACTAAAGTAAATTAAATATGCCCACTTTATCCATTTTAAACATATCTCATCAATGTGAAAAATGAAGAAAATATATTTTGATTACTTTTGATATAAAGTTTTTAGTATTTCTAGAAATAAGGATGGGATTTTAAAATTCTGGAATTCTAACTATAAATGGAATTCTAACTATAAATGGTTTTTAGTATTTCTAGAAATAAGGATGGGATTTTAAAATTCCGGAATTCTAACTATAAATGCTTATCAAAATTTCTCAATGGTTATTGGCATTTTATTTGTAAAACATGAAGTTTTGTAAAGAGGTGTTGCCATACTAAAGTAAATTAAATATGCCCACTTTATCCATTTTAAACATATCTAATCAATGTAAACAAATGAAGAAAATATTTTGATTGCTTTTGATATAAAGTTATTAGGTTTTTTAGGAATAGGGATGGGATTTAAAAGTCGTGGAATTCTATCTATAAAAGATTATCAAAAATACTTTTAATGGTTATAGTCTTTTTATTTGGGAAACATGTTTTGTAAAGAGGTGTTACCATACTAAAAATTATGTAATCAAATTTGTATTTTGAAGTTAGTAAAAAATGTTTACAACTGTTTTTTATGAGAAATGCAAGAAAATATATTTTGATTACTTTTGATATAAATTTTTTAGTATTTCTAGGAATAAGGATGGGGTTTTAAAATTCTTGAATTCTAACTATAAATGATTATCAAAATTTTTTAATGGTTATAGGTATTTTATTTGTGAAACATGAAGTTTTCTAAATAGTTGTTGCCATATTAAAGTATATTAAAAGTGCCCTCTTTATACTTTTTAAACATATATAATCAATGTAAACAAATGAAGAAAATATATTCTGATTGCTTTTGATATAAAGTTATTAGGTTTTGTAGGAATAGGAATGGGATTTTAAAATGCTTTTAAGGGCCACTCCGTGGTATTTGGTGGCAGACATCAAAATTTAAAAAAAGAATCCTACTTACAAAACTTCTAATTTCTGAAACCAGACACAACAAGACATCAGAATCCAAAAGAAATGTTAGATTTTGATGATTAATTATGATTTTTTTTGACATTTTATAGGGAAAACTTATAAAATAGTGTTATGGAAGGACATTTTTATTTTTGATATTTTTTTTATAATTGTGATCATTCTAAACAATAAAGGCTAAATACATTAAACATAACTTATTTCCTAGTCAAGTGCATTAGATTCAAAAATATTTGATTATAAAATAATGGATTAATTAATATTTATTCATCTTGGTTCCTATTTTTTAAGTATACCCAGTAACTACAAAAGCTTAGAACTTATAACTTCATATTCTCCTCAAACATGATATGGACCAACAAAATACGAAAACTTTTGCTTAGAACCACTTCAATAAGAAATGTTAAAATAGATCCATTAACCATTGATAAGTATGGGAAAATTGTTGTTTCTTTAGGAAAAATCATTTTTTGGCCAAAATGAAGAGTTATTATCCATTTAAACTTATTATACATTTAGAGAGAGATTAATTGCATGAAAAGCATATATTATACCACTGGACACATTGTTATGTTAAATTGGTTATTTATATTTAAATGAAGGGTTTAATTGGTGAGATAGCTGTGTACACTGGACACTCAGTGTTCACTGAAGTGACAATTTACATCTAATTTACCTGGGTTGAACAGAGAGACATTTTCATTGTGTGTCACCGTGAATATATTGTTTTGAGAAATGATAAGATACATTTAAATGAGGGCATTAAATGATGAACTATTCATATTTTACAATGGGAATACAGTGTACTATTCAATATGGTGATAGAGTGTTATAGGCTTACAGTGTTTCTTGAAATAAAGATCTTTATGAAATTATTAGCATAATTATACAGTATTTCCAAACAATGAAGGTTTTTTGTTGCATGGGTTATAAAAATGTGCAGTCTAGGGAGACCTAACAGCTTTCATGGTTCTTAAATCAGCTAGAAGAAGGAATACCAAGCTTTGGGGGAAAACTGTAGAAATAAAAATATTTTACAGTGTACTGACTGCTTGGATTATAGAGAAGGAAAGAAGTCTGGAAAGCAGAAAGCAAGATATAAGGCCCAGGTTTAAAGAAAGAGAAAAGAAAAGCTAGTTTTTAGCAGACAAGATATTAAGGTAAGATTGTAATTTTTGTATAAATGGAACATGTGGATGGCAGTAAAGATAATTTTTTGTTGTGTGAATTTGAAATAATGTACACAATAATTCTATTTATATGTTTTTGTTCATTTGGTATATATTGAAATGAAGGTTTATAAGGGGAGTGTGTCACATATTGTACATTATTATGTAAGGCTGAGTTAGTGGGAAGTTTGTTACATACTTAGAAAAGAGTGGAAAAACCAAGTACTTTGGAAATGATGTGAAGCAGTGGCAAGGAAATAATGTTTTAGATATGATTATGAGAATAATGATTTAATATTTTTGAGACAGGTAATGTAGCGAATCATTTTTTTCATTGTAGCTACAGATATGAGGTATTGTAGTAAGTCAGTGAATTACATTCAAGTGTCATTATTTGGCAATAGTATTGTAAAACAATAATGTGTAATTTTCAAATGTGGAATATTATAAAACAATTTGTAACTTTTTTGCTCTAGTAAACTTTAAGCATATGATGATATATATATTATTATTTTTTTTAGTTAGCTGTAAAGAAGAAAAAGGAGATAATGCCACGAAAAAGCAAACAGGGTGCTAAACAGAGTTTGGCAAAAAAAAGAGAGAGCATGAGAGCTCTGCGTAGTTCGAGATATTCCATTGTTTCTTTTGTGCAAGGCAGGATTCATCAAGGAAGTGAGATATTTTTAGAGGGCAATGCTGGCTCACAGTGTACTTGCATGGCTTTGATGGCACTTGTATATAACGAGGTGAAGAATGTCAGGGAGTGGGACAGTACAGATGTAGAAAGTATTTTGTATGCTGGTGATGATCTTTATCAAAGGAATCGAGGAGAAAAAACATTCTTGCTTGTTACAGAGTTGCCGACTGAAGTTGAGTACAACGAGAGTACTTATATTATTGGAACAGAAGAAGCTTTGAATGGATCTTTGGGCATGCAGGAGTCATGTCCTCCATTTTATAATTTAGAAGATGCAGTAGATCTTGGGTATACTCAAACAGGGAATTTTTATTTTCTTATGGGTTCAGAAGAATTAAGTTATGCTACAATGGTTTTAGGACAACATGATGGCAGATACTATATATTTGATTCTCATAGCAGAAATTCTAGAGGACTGACCGACCCAAATGGGAAGGCCACAGTTTTGGAACTGCGGTCACGAAGTGAACTTGTTATCTATCTAAGGGCTTTAGCATCTTCTTTAAATTTAAATGATAGCACTGCCTTTGAGGTGACACCCTGCAAGGTTAGACTTACAAATGATCTGTTTTCCTTTGAACTGAAAACTTATTTCGAAAAGCAGAGGAAATACGAAGATATGCAAAAAAAGGAAAAAAGAAAGGAACAAGTAAAAGCCTACAAATCCCAGCCAATAACTAAAACAAAAAGTATTAAAAGAGATGCACAATATAGAAGGAAAATAGCAGTAATGTTGAAACGAAAAGAGCAAAAAAGGACCTACCTTTCTAAGCCAAGTGTCCAGGAGAAGATGAAAGAAAGCGGACAGGTATACAGGTCACAGGCACACATCAAAGAGCAAAGAAAGGTAAAAGATGCAATCCATTTTGGACAAGAAGAAGTGAAAGATGCAAGACGCAAAAGGGAGCATATGTTTCTTGCTAGCCCAGAGAATAAATTAAAAAAGCAACTTAAACAGAAATCTCATAGATCTAAGGAAGAAGTGCGACAAAAGATACGAGAACGTGATTCTAAAGGTCGTAAAGTACCAGAAGTGAAGGCTGCTAGACAAACAAGGGAAAAGATATACTTAGCAGATGCAGAAAAGAGATCAAGAAAGCAAGCAAAACAGAAGCTACATCGATCTGACAGGGAGGTAAAACAGTATATACAAGAACGGGACAGTAAACGACGTGCACAGAAAGATGTCAAAGCAGCTAGACAAACAAGGGAAAAGATATACTTAGCAGATGCAGAAAAGAGATCAAGAAAGCAAGCAAAACAGAAGCTACATCGATCTGACAGGGAGGTAAAACAGTATATACAAGAACGGGACAGTAAACGACGTGCACAGAAAGATGTCAAAGCAGCTACACAAAGAAGGGAAGAGATATATTTAGCAGATGTAGAAACGAGATCAAGAAAACAGGCAAAACAGAAGCTACATCGATCTGACAGGGAAGTAAAACAATACATACAAGAACGGGACAGTAAACGACGTGCAGAAAAAGATGTCAAAGAAGCTAGACAAAGAAGGGAGAAGAAATATTTAGCAGATGTAGAAAAATCATTACAGAAACAGACAAAACAGAAGCTACATCGATCTGACAGGGAAGTAAAACAATACATACAAGAACGGGACAGTAAACGACGTGCACAAAAAGATGTCAAAGCAGCTAGACAAGCAAGGGAAAAGATATACTTAGCAGATGCAGAAAAATCATCACAGAAACAGGCAAAACAAAAATTGCACCGTTCTAAGATTGAAGTGAAAAGAAAAATACAAGAGAGGGAAAAAAGATATCTGGCTTCAAAAATTGTTCAAGCAAAGAGAAGAATTGCAAGAAAATTATACTATTCACAGAAGAAAATACAAACGAAAATACAAGAAAGAGTGAAAAAACATCGTGCACAAGAACACATTAAGGAGCAAAGAAGGGAAAGTGAGAGACGCTGGAGGAAGAGCAGTCCAGGAATATATTCCAAAAGATTCAAGATGGAAAAGCTAAAAGAACAGCAAACAAATGTACATTTTGCCATACAAAATTTCCAAAAGAAATGTAAGGAAATCCCCGAGTTTGTTTGCTGTTGTTGTAATCGTCTTCGCTTTAGGAACCAAGTACAAGCTTTTAGAGAACAAAACTATCAGGAGGAAATATTAATTTTGAGCAAAATTATTGATATGGGAGCAGAGAAAAAGATATGCACTTACTGCCATCAGAAAATGTCTAAGAAGAAAGTATCACCAATTAGTTATAATGGAAATAGCATTAAATCTATGGACATGCCAGGAGATATTGGTACTTTAAATCCAATTGAACAGTTACTTTTAACTCCAGTAATACCTTTTATGAAAATTGTTTCATTGCCTAAAAGCCAACAGCATGGAGTCCATGGCCCTATTGTGTGTGTACCAGCCAATGTGAAGGAAACAATTACAAAATTACCTGCCTCTCCACGTGAAAGTGGACTCATTAGAGTTAAACTAAAAAGAAAGCTTGGATACAAAGGTCATCATCTGTATCAGAAAATAAGTCCAAGAACAGTGAAAAAAGCATTTGATTTTCTTTCGAAACACCATCCTGATTTTTCTGGTAAGTTGAGAAATATATAACAATTTAAAAGTAAAATTTTGCTTTATTGTTAATTGAAATTTATATCAAGGGTGTGCATTATTAAAATATCATGTGTCACAAGAATAAAAAATTATAAATATTATATGATATAAGGTAAGAAAATATTTTTAGGAAGTATGTGTAAAAATTAAAATGATTTGTAGGTATTGTCTATGATGAAGAAGGAGTCAAAACTACTATGGAACACCTTAGAAATGAGGACAGCGATGAAACAGGTAGAGTAAATGAAAGTTTTGATAGTTATGGTGTAAATATAAAAGAATGTCAAGTAATATTTATTTGTTTTTTTTTTTTTGTTTGTTTGTTTTTTTTTTTTTGATAAATATGTAATTATATCAAGTAGGAATAACGAAGAAATGTAATTGCTTGAATAATACAGAATGTATTAGGATTTTTTATTTGCATATGTAGTGTAGATTCATACAGCTATTAAACATAATTATTTAATTTCAAGCAGGTAATAATTAAATTCTAGCTGTAGATGGTTTTGTTATTTGTAATTTTAGTGGAAAACAGTACAACTGTGGGAAAGAGTCAAGGACCTTTAAGTAAACAGCAATCAAACAGTAAGTATAAAAGCTGTACTGCATAATAACTATCATGTTTTTAGTATATTGACAAAATTTTTGTGTTAAGAAATAGTTTACAGTTTTTTCCAAGTAACTATTTTTTATAATTTTAGCACAGAACAATGTAAGCATGAAAATTATTTCTTTGTAAATAAATGTTTTGATTGTGAAGCTTTTTTTAATTAATTTGTTTACTGTTTTAATGTGGATAACAGTGATTTCTTGAATTTAAAGTAATGTGGTAGGATTGTTTTTTTTTCATTTTTTATGCATTTTATATTTTCACTTTTATATTAGTTGTCACTTTTGTAAATATATAGGCAAAATACCTGTGTTAATAATTAGTTTACTATTGTCTGAAAGTAGTCATTATTTTACTAGTACTTATCTTCATTATATAAAGATGGTAATACACTAACTGTATTGTATCATCATTTGTATATCATATTGTACAAGGTCATGACAATCTATGTACCAGTACAGAAATAAATTGAATTGAATTGAAAATTATTTTATTTATAATCTTAGTACAGGGCAATGTGGGTGTTGAAGATGATGCTGAAACTTTTAATAGGAAACAACCAAACTGTAAGCAAGAATTTTTTTGTAATTTTAAAAAAAATATGTTGACTGTATTATTGTAAATTTATAATAATGACATGTTGAATATATCTTAATTTTTTTTTTTTTTAATTTGTACTTGAGTGCATATCATTAAGGCTGGAAAAGTAAAGATTGTAACCTCAAATAGCCAACATTCAAGCTGTAGCTGTGGATTTTTTGTTTGTAATTTTAGTGGAAACTAGTATAGATGTGGGAGGGAGTCCAGAAACTTCAAGTAGGGAAGAATCAAACAGTAAGTATGAAAATTAAATTGCACATTATCAATAAATGTTTTTTGTGTTATTATTATTATTATTTGTTGATGGTTTATATATGTATACAAGGTAGCTGCCTTAAAAATTACTCAGCTGTAGATGTTTTTTTTTTTTTTTTGTAATTTTTAGTGGAAACCGGTGTAACTGTGACAGCAAGTCAAGAAATTTCAAGTAGGGAACAATCCAAGTGTAAGCACAAATATAATATTGTAGTTTTGCTAAAGTTTCTTAATTATAATTTATAGATTGTATAAACATGTAGATAAAGTGCTAGTGGGCAGACACAAAATGATTTTATGTTATCATTATTATTATTTGTTGATGGTTTATATATGTATACAAAGTAGCTGCCTTAAAAAGTACTCAGCTGTAGATGGTTTTGTTCTTTGTAATTTCAGTGGAAACCAGAGTAACTGTGGGAGAGAGTCAAGAAATTTCGAGTAGGGAACAATCCAATGGTAAGCACCAAATTTATATTGTAGTTTCACTTAAGTTACTTTGTTTAAATTTGTAGATTGTATAGACATAAATATAATGCTGGTGGACAGACAGACATATAGTTCTATTTGTTTGTTATTTGTATTATTAAAAATACCTTGATTTATTATTTGTTGATTGTATAAGTACACAGATGAGAAGGTAGTGTACCAGTATGTGCAGATTTCATTATTTTCCGTAATTTTTGCTATAATTTTGTTATTGTTTATATATCAGATATATTAACAAATGTAATTATTTGTTGTTGTTTTTTTTCAGATAATACAGAGGATGAAGTTACAGAAACAAGTGTTCCACTTGTAACGTGCTTACAACCGGAAGATTTGGCTCAGCATATATCAGATAAGTACGAAGACAAAATATTATGTTTTGCTCCATCGGAAAATCAGCATCCTGAGTCTACATTCAACAAGGAAGTTCAGTCCTTCCCAACTTTGTTTCCAAATGGAAAAAACGCCTTTTCTGAAAGCCGGAAGTACAAGTTGTCATTTAGTCAATATATCAAAAGCAGACTGTTTTCTGCAGATACCAAATTTGCTATGAACACACAATATATATTTTACTTACAATACATAAAAGAATTTCAAGAAGTTTTGTCTTCTGCAAAAATAAGTGAAAGAAAAGGTTCAGCAAAATCAGGCAAGATTAATATAGATAGTTTTGAAACAGAAAACTCATTAAAACAGATGCTAAAAAATAATGAAGGTTATAAGTTTTTATCAAAAGTTAGAGGATCTGCACCATACTGGGAGCGAACAATGAAAGATTTATGTGCCATGGTAAAACAACTGGGTATCCCAACTTGGTTTTGTAGTTTTTCTGCAGCAGATAGACGATGGAAGGAAATTGTTCATGCTATTCTTAAATCTCAGGGAAAGGTAGTCCCTGATGAGATGGATTGGACAGAACACTGTAAGGTTATTAACAGTAACCCAGTTATTGCTGCAGCCATGTTTGATAAACGCAGTCATCATCTAATAAATGACCTGATCAAGTCTGCTTCACATCCAATAGGCAATGTGATTGATTTTTTCTATAGAATAGAATTTCAGCAAAGGGGGTGGCCACATATTCATGCTTTGTTTTGGGTTCAAGATGCACCTATTCTAGATAGATCTGAGCCAACAGATGTAGTTAGTTTTATTGACAAGTATGTTACTTGCCAGTTACCACATGAAGAGGAACCTTTGTATGAAAAAGTATCCAAATTACAAATGCATAGTAAAAATCATTCACGTAGTTGCAGGAAGGGGAATCAAACTTGTAGGTTTAATTTTCCAAGACAAGTATCTACCAGAACCTTTATATGTAAACCAATCAAGCTAGATGAAGAACAACCTAAACAAATTATAAGAAAAGAAGCTAGAGAAGCTTTGGAAAAGTTGGCAAAAATCACTAGTGATGAGAAAAACATATCCCTTTCCGCCCACCAGTGTTTAGAATTAGCAGGCATGACACAAGAGAGTCTTGAATATTCCATGGGTGTTTTAGCTAGAAAAACTATCATTGTTTTAAAAAGAGAACCTAAAGAATGTTGGGTTAATCAGTATAACCCACATTTATTAGAAGCTTGGGATGCTAACATAGATATACAGTATATAGTAGATGCTTATGCATGTATTTGTTATATAGTGTCCTACATCTCAAAAAAAGAGAGTGAAGAGGGTGAACTTCTTAAGGCTGCTCAAAAAGAGGCTAGACAAGGAAACACTGAAGCTGTGAATGAGCTCAAAACATTAGGAAAAGTTTACATTACTCACAGGGAAATTAGTGTTATGGAGGCTATCTACAGATGTACTGGCATGAAACTCAAATGTTCAAGTAGAGAAGTACGCTGGATAGCAGCAGATAAAGATGCAACTAGGTTGTCTTTGCCTCTAAACATTTTAAAACAACAAGCCAAGGAAAAACGATTGGATAATATCTGGGCCAAGTCTGACTTAGAAAGGTATTGGCATAGGCCTGATAATAAAACATTTGAGTTTATGTCCCTTGCACATTTTGTTGCCAATTATAGAATGTATGGTTCAAAACAAATCAAAACAAACAAAGATAACTCAGATAGTGAAAATGAACATAGTGATAGTGAAGGTAAAGACATTACCTTATTAAACAACTATGGATTTATTAGTCTGCGCAACAGACCCATCGTCATAAGATATTTAAAAGGGTCAATAGACCGTGACCCAGAAAGATATTTTGAAAATAGATTGCGTTTGTTTTATCCTCATAGAGGGCAAGAAATCCTACCTTCTGCATTTACATCATATGAAAGTTTTCACAACAATGCTAGTTTTGTTTTAAATGATGAAGAGATCCCTATTTATGAATTAGTGAACAGAAATAGTGCACCCTTTGAAAAAGATGCAGAGGTAATTGATAGTGCTCTACAACGATCCCATGATGATCATGAGGATGCGTGGGCTGATATTGCTCCGGGGGCTGAAGAACAAAGGATTGATGATAAAATGGAACAAAACTTTCCAGTTCTAGGTGAAGATGCAGTTGAGGAAGTTCATCTTCCAGATTTAGATGCTGCTCTACCAGATAAAATTGCATATAAGAAATCAAACTTATCATGTGAAAAACTTCAGTTGCAGATTTCAACAAAACAAGCAAAAGAAATGCTAAGGTCTATGAACAGTCAACAACTACAAATATTCAATTACATGCGAAAGTGGTGTCTAAAAAAAAGTCAAGGCAAAAATCCAAAACCCTTCCACATTTTTCTTACTGGTGGAGCAGGGACAGGTAAGACCCATGTTATAAATGCTTTTCGGTATGAAGCAGAAAACATTTTGACTTCATTAGATTCACCTAATGAAAATCCAGACGATATAAAAGTGCTTTTAGTTGCTTACACTGGAACAGCTGCATTTAATATACAGGGTCAAACTATTCATTCTGCTTTTGCGATAAGAAGTCAAAAAGGTAAAGATAGGAAAAAATATGTCCCATTGGGAGAAGAGTTATTAACAGAGCTTCGTGTAAGATACAGAAGTCTCCAAATTTTAGTAATAGATGAGATTTCAATGGTTGGTCAAAACATGATGCTGAATATAAGTCAGCGACTGAATCAAATCAAACAGACCAACTCTGCCCAATCGGTTTTTGGAGATATCAGTGTTTTAGCAGTAGGAGATTTTTATCAAGTGGCTCCTGTAGCAGATAAAGCTCTTTATGTTACTGATCCAGGCCAACTTTATGAATCAGAATGGAATAATTTCTTAAAATTTGAGCTTTCAATAATAATGAGACAAAAAGACGATCAACCATTTGCTAATTTGCTTAATGCTATCCGTACAAAGAAAAAGGAAGAACAATTAAAACCTCATGATAAAGCTATGCTTCTTGAACGTGTGAATGATCAACTTACAGCAGATTCAACAAAACTGTATATTTTCCCTAGGAACAAAGAAGTTGATGAACATAACAAACATCTCTTGGAGACACTTTGTTCTGACATAATTACTATAGAGGCAGCTGATATAATCCATTCAAGGTCAGGACAATCAAAAAGAAAAAAGGTTCCTTTTGCTAAAGATTCTTTGGCGTTAAAACCACTGATAGAAATTGCTGTAAATGCAAGAGTTATGCTCACCACAAATCTTAATGTCAGTGATGGACTTTCAAATGGTGTCATGGGTACTGTTGTTAAGATAGAACAAGGTACAAAACCATTAAATCAACCTCAGTACATCTGGGTACATTTTGATAACCCCAAAATAGGTGCAAATGCCAGGCAACAAACAGTAAGACCTGAAAACATACCAACAAACAGTGTACAACTTAAGCCACATGTAGAACTTTTTGACCATCAGTCAGTAAAAGTGGCTCGTTATCAATACCCTCTCAAGTTAGCATGGGCATGCACTGTGCATAAAACTCAAGGTAAAACTGTCACTGATGCTGTGGTTTCGTTGAAGCATGTCTTTGCACCTGGTATTGGGTATGTTGCACTTAGTCGTGCAACCAAATTATCAGGTCTGCAACTTTTAAGTTTTGATAAAACTGATGAAGCAAACTTGTACTGTGACGTTAAAGTAGATGATGCAATGAAGGCCATGAAACCTGTCAACCCAGACACATTACCAATTTTAAGACCATTACAGAAAACACTAACAATTGTATGTCACAACATCCAATCTCTACCAGCTCATTTCAAAGACTTAAAAAGTAATCCAGAGATGGCTGTGGCAGATATTGTAGGTATTACTGAGAGTTGGCTAAATAGTAATGTCCCCTCTGCTAAATACTCTATTCCTGGTTTTCAGCTCATAAGATGTGATCGTCAAAATGACACCTCTAGAGGGGGGGTAGCCGTTTACATTCGCAACACCTTGAAAGCAACTGAGGTCAAAAACAACTTTGTTACAAAGCCAGGTTTTGAAAGCGTAACTTTAACAATCAATGGTTATTACGTAAGCTTTGTGTACCGTTCACCATCAATTGTAGGCCCAGCTTTTAATAGGAAAATACAGGAAATTTTAAGCCAAAACAAAAAGCCCATTAAACCATCAATTTTGTTAGGTGATTTCAATATTGATCTATCTAAAGCTCCTCAAACCTCTGTTTGTCTTCCTTGTTTACAACACCATAAGCAAATGATTGCCTCTCCAACATTTAGAGGTGTTAAAGGGTACACTAGCCTGTTAGATCATATTTATGTACAAAATGTAAGCACTATAGAAACAGGTACACTGTGCACATATTACAGCGACCATGATCCTGTATACGCTGTTATACCCATCAATGCATAGTATATGAAATATGTAGTTATTTGTAAAAAAAACATTGTATATATGTAAGAATTGTTAATATAAATTATTTGTAAATATATTCCTTCAGATGTTAATGGCCTAATGTATTTGCTAGGATATTGTACATATAGTTTGCATTTTAAACTGTATATAAACATATTTTGGTTTTATTTCTAATATAAATGATTGCCTTAATATATAACACAATATGAATTTTTTTATCTGTAAAGAGATTTATTTAACAATATGTATTACACATGTATGCACAGATTGATTGTAAAATATTTTAATTTGTATTATAGTTAGTACATATCAAATAATCATGATAATATATTCACTCTTATTTTTTGACCTCAACATTTAAATTAAGATTGACAGATGTTGTGATTTTATTTTATAACAAATGTATGTAAAGAGATGCTTTAAGTGTTTAATATAAAAAGATAAACAGATAATTTGTATTATATTTGATACATTTAATTTGGTAAAAGGGTCACTGTTTATTGTGGCCATCCACAGCTCTAAAAAACACCTTTAAAATTTATTTAACACGAAAATTGATTTTAATTATTATTTTATGGGGGGAAGGGGTACATTTTCAGTGGGGAAATCTTTTGGGGTCTCTCTTCAATTGTTTTTACATTGTTAAATTATATAATATATGTTTATAAATAGATATTTTATATACACATAATCCTAATATATATTGGTATGTTTTATTTATTTCTGATTAACATAGAACTTTAATTTTATAATTTTAAAATATATTATACTCGCATGCATAGATTGGCAAATTTTGACTAACAAAGAGGTTAGATTATTTAATTTAATATGTATCATACCTTAAATTTTTATTATACTTGAAATGGATAATTATTATGTTAATACTTTTTACATTTATATGTTTTAACATGTATTTACTTGAAATAGATACTTTGATTAATTGATTCATAACTTTTTGTCAAAACATAGTTCTTAAAAGTGTAGCTTATGAAAATAAAACATTTTTTATTACAGAAATGACTTATTTTGTATAGCATATGACTTCATCTTCAATTTTAACAGTAAATACTGGTGTATCTCTGCAGCTTAATTTGGAGATATGAGAACTGGAAAATTTGTAAAATACAGTTCCTGGTACAAAGTAGTCCAAATCAAATGTAAGGTTACATTTACATATCCAACTCAATTTCAATAGGAACCTCAGGTGTATCTTTGCCTCTCATTAACATAAGTCCTTCAATTTCAAAAGTAACTGTGGGTGCATCTTTGCCACTTTTGGAGATAATGAAAAGTAGGTCAAAGGTCAATTTCAGGGTAAAAGTTAGACTGACAATATATGACTTCTTATTCAAGTTCAATTGTAACTATGGGTGTATCCCTGCCAGGTTTAGAGATAAAAAAGACAAAATTTTGAAAGGTTCAGTTCATGAGGAAAAGTAAGTCAAAGGTCAATTTCAAGGTCACAGTTAGATTGATTGCCAGTATATGACTTCCTATTCAAGTTCAACAGTAACTATGAACATATCACTGCCAGTTTTGGAAATATAAAGGCCAGAAAATTTGCAAAGTGTGGTTCACCACAATGTACTTTTTAATACAGCATAGCACGAAAACCGTATGAAATACAAGAAAACGGAGACCTCCAGTGTTGGGCTTTACATGCTCTACAAAATGCAAAAAAGAATGGGTCTCTAGCATTAACGGTTCCCGAATTAGAGACAGTTTTCAGTTTCGGTATCTTATGGCCCCTACTCCCGTGAAAATGCACCGATTGACCCCAAATTCACGGAGATGAAAGATGACCCAAAGGGTAACACTTTCCATAAATATTATTGGTTAACTCTGTGTAGTTTCTGAATATCAGGGCAAACATTTTCTTTTTCGTAAAAAATTAGGTTTTTTTGNTACAGCATAACACGAAAACCGTATGAAATACAAAAAAAACGGAGACCACTTCCAGTGTTGGGCTTTACATGCTCTACAAAATGCAAAAAAGAACAGGTCTCTAGCATTAACGGTTCCCGAGTTAGAGACAGTTTTCAGTTTCGGTATCTTATGGCCGCTACTCCCGTGAAAATGCACCGATTGACCCCAAATTCACGGAGATGAAAGATGACCCGAAGGGTAACACTTTCCAATAATATTATTGGTAAAGTCTGTGTAGTTTCTGAATATCAGGGCAAATCAATTTTTTTTTCGTAAAAAATTTCGTTTTTTGAAAATTTTGGCCCATTTGACCTTGAAGCAAAGGTCAAAGATCAAATCCAAGGGCATATTTGAAATCTCCACATATGACTTTCGGTCAGCCATCTGTAGAAAATTTTCCCATAATTCCTTCGGTAGGGTAGATAATTGGCATTGAATTTTCAAAAATTTTGACAAGGGTGTATTTCAACGAGCGTCACGCCCAGGTCAATGCACCGACTGAGACAAAAAAAACCTGGGGGTTCAAGTTGAGGTTATATGTGACCTAAATCCAAGAGATGGGGACAGGGGTCCTTGCGGTCTAGTAGGAGAAGTGGTAACGGTGACTTGTATCCGGCGCCAGTACGCGGAGCCGGCAGAGCTGGACGAGACGGGTCGGGACTAAAACCATTGTCACTGCTCAGGGCAACAATTGCCTCTTGTAAATCATACTTCCTGTTAAGCATGCGCATTTTTGTTCTCAACAGAAAGTAATGATATGAATAATATGATATGAATAAGCGCTGACTGTAAAGTTTTTATGTAAAATATTTCATTTACTCAAAAAAAGACAAATATATCCATTAAAAATGTGAATAACATACAATAACATGTGAAAAATGGAATTTGAAAATTCAACTAGACAGCAAAGCTGATAAATATACAGACACCATACAGGAAATAAGGCAGCAAAGCTGTCACATGTTCAGACATTATGCAGAGAAAAAATGCACAAAAAACATTTTGGCTAATTTTGATGCACTGTTACATAATGCTTTAATATAGCACAATCACTCTTACTCTCTTACTTTTTGTACAACAGGTAACATAGACATTGAAAAACTTGCAAGTGATTCAATTCCCTATGATAAAATAGCCACTAAAAATGCTAATGTACACATAAAAAACAGAATAATTACAGATAATGTGAACTGATAATGCTGATTTTTGAAAGCAACCTGCCACTACCCAACAAAGCCACTCAGTAAATTTAAAGTAAAACAAAAATATGAATTTGAAGTTATAGGGTGAACATCACCAAAATTGTACAAAAAGCATAATAATTACAGTAATTGTACACTGATCATGCCAATTTTCAAAAGCAACCTGCCTCTTTACCAAGCAAAGCCACACAGTAAATTTAAAGTAAAAAAAATGATTTGGAAATTATAGGGCAAATAACATATGTCGGATAGTGACAGTGATGGCAACAATGATGGTGCAGACAGACAGACCAATCAGAATATATACAGACACTTACAGAGTCTGTACATAAAAATAATCGATTGATTTACCAAAAAGAAAAAAAAATCCAAATGATAAATAAAATAAATCTAGGTATTCACATAATTGTAAAGTCTACTGAACATATCTATATGGAATTTAGACTTAAAATGAATATATTATTATTATATATTATTATTATTATTATTATATATTATTAGGTCTAAGGTTCTTAAAGCTTTGCAGACAATGAAAATTCTGGGTGATACCAGTATACTAGTAGACTTGCATCATTTGACAAGATGATTCACTATTACTGCTGGTATACATACAATCAGTTTTCTGTAGTGAATCCTAGTCAAGGCACATTAAGTCTATAACAAATAGCTCAGACCACCTGGACTTGTTATGGAGATGACAGGGGTGAGTTTCAAACCATTTGTCTGACATATGGGTACAAAATTTGATGAGTTACAATGTTCAAATAAGCTACTGTGTGTGTGTGTGTGTGTGTGTGTGTGTGTGTGTGTGTGTGAGAGAGAGAGAGAGAGAGAGAGAGAGCAGTTTAATGAGCAATTAAGATCATTTGTACAACTCTCTTTGTAGAAATATACTAATGTTTGAAGTTCAAAATTCTGCTTTTGAAAATGTAAATAAAAAAGATGGAACATATCTGATTTTTATTAAAATGGCATCTGTCCTGCAATTTCACCTGAATCTGCTTGAAAAAAATTATCTATATCTAGCACCTTATCTGCTTTTTGATGAACACTTTCGAAGATATTTTTGATGCATTAATGCATCCTTTGCCATCAATTTTTTCTACTTGAATCCCTGTTTTGATCCAAAAATGTTCATGTTGACACAAAGCATATTAATAAAAAAAAAAAAAAAAAAAAAAAAAAAAAAACACTACGTGCTACTTGTGGTAAAATCATTGCCACTATAAACAACTTGCAAAATTGATAATTGTGAGATATTCTTATGTGAATAATTGAGTACATTTAGACTGACAAAATCAAAGGCCTTTGAACAATACCTGTATACTACTTTTTGCTATATTTACAGAGTAAATGACATTGCTCATTCACATTCACTCTATCCACTTTTGGCAATGACTTCCATTTGTATTAATATCACATAAATATACATTGTATTAATAAACATATGACGAAATAAGAATCTAATAATTTGCACTACCATGTACTACCCTACTGATAATTAATACAAAGCATTTCTATATATGATCAATCATGACTACGGCTAAAAATGGTAAACACTCATTTTTAATAAAATAGTGATGAACAGAATGAACAAAGAACCAGGACTGTCAGCAGATAAGAGTGTTTTTCTATTTTGGGTTCAACAATCTTGAAGAAATAAATTGTTTTGAACATGGTATGCTTCTGAAAATATAGCACATAAGTGTTTATTGCTGTAAAGGTCTCCCTTAATCAACAGAATGCAATAACCTGATCTTACAAAGTAAGAGACCTTCTGGAAGTAATTTGGATTACATCCAATGGTGCAAAATCTTAAGATGTTGATTCACTATGATGTCAATGACACATGCAGGAAACTGATTTTCTGAAAGTGCTAATAGGCTGTGAAGTGCTTTGATAGCAAAGCCATTTTTTCAATTATTATATTAACATTTTGTACAGGGACAAAATCAAGCGTAACACTGTGGCATTTTCTTTTTTGTTAGTGAATCTCGATTCAGTAGTGGTCATATCTTAAGGACAATCCTACACAATTGGAACCATGTTGAAAACACAATTACACTTATTATTACATCAGAAAGCAGCTGGCAGGTGCTTGCTGCTCAGCAACAGAGATCTGATTTGATTTCAAAAGCCCCTCCATGCATATCATTTCCACTTTAGTTGTCCCTTTACGCAGGCATATGAACAGTGGGGGATGAACATCCTGGTTTAATAACATTGAGGACAACATTATCTTGTGTGGGCACATTTTCCCCATTCCCAATAAAAAACACTTCTTTTCAATTTACACCTACATGAATGAAGAGCACTGACCTGGAAGGGGATATCAATGCTTTTTATATCCATATTACATTTCCTTACAACTAAGTTGCATTAAAGAAATTTGATTTAATACTACTATCTCAATAACGACAAGGGCAAATTTGGGCAGCCCTCTGGGTCAGCTTTTGGATGTTCAAAATTTTCTTGAAAAACATTTTTTTCTTGAATTACTATTGGCCAGTCTGAATAACCATGTC